ATTCAATTAAATACTTATAATTTTTTTTTTTTTAGGAAAATAAATATGAGAATGTGCACTTGATTTTAAATTGCCCGTATTTTTAAAATTATGAAAATTTAAATATTGTCCTATAAAGGTGCTTTTTAAATAGATTTAATGAAATAATGCTTTAAAAATATAAATAATCTCCATCTTAATAACAAGATATAGATTATAAAGTCTAAAAATATATTTATTTGTAAGATTTTGAAAAATTAACATAATAAATTTCTAAAGAATTGAATATTACTAAATAATAAAACAAATTTTTTTTAAAAACCTTAAGTTCTATATATTCTAAAAAACAAAACATTTTCTTAAATGAAGATTAAAATAAGTTAAATGAAAATTTATATCATGTATATGATATATTTGATGCTAAAGAAGAAAAAAACTAATATTTAATAGATAAATATAACCCTTTAATGTATTTAAAATAAGATGACCCTTTATAAATTGTATTATAAAATATATTAAAATAAAATATTATATAATAATAAAACGAATGAAAATAAAAAAAATATAAAAATAAAATTAAATAAAATAAAAATATTTATTAAAAAATCTATAATTTTTTTAAAAAATAAAATAAAAATCAATGTTTCTTCATATAAAAATCCGCAGAATCAAATTCATTTTTTTTCCTTTTCCCAGTAAATTTTTTTCTTTTAAGGTATTGGTAATTAATCTATATATCTCTATTATTAATCATAATTATTATTATAATTTTACATTTCCATTAACTTAGTCTATTAATAAACTAAAGAATCTAAATCTTCTTATTTATCTTCATTACATTCTCCTTCACTATCATTAGCTCTAACACCTTGCCTAAGTTATGAGAATTTCGAATTTCTTTTCTAAAACTTAGACTTATCAATTTCTTTAGCAAATTTATAAGGATAAAGTTCTTCATTTACATCATTCTAAAAAAAATATTTTTCCTCTTCTTTTTCCTCTTCATGTTCTTCTTATTTTTCTTTAGATTAAGATGAAATACTTGACGAATTTTCTTCTTCTTAAATTTCTTCTTATTTATTATAATTATTTTCCTCGTTTTCATTTTTTATTTAATTATTATTATTGTTATCAAAACAACTAAGCTCTAATTCTGGCATAGACTTAGATTAATTGAAGACCTATCCTAAATAAGAAATTCTTCTTTTTTTTTAATTCCCATCTATTTTGATTTATAAATAATGTAATTAATTCTCATTATTATCATCTAATTAAAACTCAAACATGCTTTCTACTTTTGCATTTTCCGGTTTTTTTTATCCTTCTAGAAAATAGTCTGCTGAGTCGAAATCTGTTTTTTTTTATCTTTTTAAATTAAAGGTCTTTTTTTTTAATTTTCTAGTCTACTCTTTCTATTTATTTTTAAATATTTTTCTCTATATCTTTCTCACTATATTGTTTAAAATTGCTTATTTTTTATATTTTTTCTTCTTTTTCTTTCTCTTCCCCATCACTATCTCTTGTTTCCCCTTTAGGTTTTTATAAAAACCGGCTTCCTTTTACTGTATGGAAGTGATTTTTTGATACTTAGAATTTTATTTTTAATAATTTATTAGTTTCTTTTACTAATAATCTTCTTTTGCGAGATTCTTCATCGCTGTCTATTTCTTCAGGTTTTTCGTCTTCTTCATCTTCACTATGTTATTAATATTATTATTTTTATTATTAATAATTATATATATTTAATTCTTCTTATTATTTTTATTCGTTTTCATTTTCTTCTTTTTATTATTCGTATTTTTACTCGTATTTTTACTCGTATTTTTACTCATATTTTTACTCGTATTTTACTCGTATTTTCTTCCTCTTTTTCCTCCTTTTCCTCTGAAATTTTATATTTTTATTCTTTTTTTTCATCATCTTATTATTGTTTTTGTTCATAGAATTTAGTTTTTTTATTATTATCATTTATTTTTGTATATATTAATTTTGTATCTTCTTCTTATTCATCTTCTTTATTGAGTTCTTCATATTAATCTTTTTTATTATTCATGAAGAAGTCTGCGGAATCAAAAGTTTTCTTTTATTTTTGAACTAATGGTTATTTACCTTTTAGTTTATTTTTTTATGCAAGAATAGAAGCCTAAATTTAAATTTCCTAATCTAATTAATCCCTAAGTTATTATTTTGCTTAATTTTATAATAACTCTTCTTATTATTATTATTATTATTATCTTTTCTTTAATTCTTCTTCTTCTTATTATTATTTTCTTATAATTATTATTTTTTAATTATTCTTATTATTATTTTCTTTTTTTACTTTCTTTTCTTCTTCTTCTTATTATGATTATTATTATTTTTTTAATTCTTTTTCTTCTTATTCTTATTATTATTTCTTTAAATTATAATTTTCTTCATTTTCTTAATCTTAAAAATTGCTTCTTTTTTTAAAATTCGAAGTAGCCTTTTATTTATAAGGTGTAATTATTTTTTTTTATTCTTCTTCATTTAAATAATTAGTTTCTTCTTTTTCTTCTTCATTTTTATCATCACTTTTCATATAATAATCTGCCGAATCAAATTATTTCTTTTTGTCTTTATGTACTAAAGGTTGCTTTTTTTTATTTTACAAATAAGCCATTTAAGCAGCTTATTATTACATATAATAATCTTCCTCTTCATACTCTTATTATTATTATAAATTATTATTTTCTTATACTTCATCTTCCGAACTATTATTAATCATTTAATTTGCAAAAATAATCTTTGGAGCAGGTTTAGAAGTTATTATAATTATTTTATTATTTTCTTCTTATTAATTATAATCTTCTGTATTATCATTGTCTTTTCTATCATTTTAATCATCTGATTTCATATAATAATCTGCAGAATCAAACTACTTTTTTTTATCTTTTTATAATAAAAGCTACTTTTTTTTAGAATGCAATTAATACATTTATAAGTCTTATTATGCAATTTAATAATCCATATATTATTTTTATTTTATTAAGATTGTTTTTATTTTTTTTTTAGGCGAATTTATTTTATAATTAATTTTTTTTCTTTTTAATTATATAAAATTATATAAATTTAATAATAATTTATTTATAAGTTTTAAATAATTATTTTATTTGAATAAAAATAATAAATAAATATAAATATAAAAAATTACAACAAATTAATTCAACAAATTTTAATTTTATGATTTTTATAAAATAAATATAAATAGTATTTTTATCATTATAAATTATTTAATCTATTATATTAAATTTTTATTTTTTTTATATAAATAATTAATTTATATATATTATTTTAATATTTAATATAGAAATGTATTGTTTAAAACATAATTTTTTATATATAATATTAAAATTTATATTTTTATGTTATTATTACTTATAAAAACATTAATATTTGAATAAGGAATAATAATACATTAGAAATATTAATAATCATTTATTAATTATTTGATACATATTTATTCAATTTTAATTTATTTATTTTTTTTATAAAAAAAAATTTATTCATTAAATTAGTATTCTTTAATTAAATATTTAATCTATTAAAAATTTCGATAATTTCTAAATAAATAAATATTATATAATATTTATATGTAGTATCAAAATTATTAATTAATGAATAAAATTATAATTTTATTATAAAAAAAAGAAATAAAAAATATATCTTCGAAATATATATTAAAATATTAATATAAAATTTTTTAATTATAATATAAATAAATAATATTAATAATAAATATATATATATTTTAATATATTTTCATATTTATATATATATATTCATATTTATTTATATAATTTTGTATTATATATTTAATTTAAATTAAAATAAATCTATATATAAAATATCATATCTTGAAATAAAATTTAATTTATAAAACATTTAAAAATTATTAATACTTTATGCAATACGAATGAAATTATATTTATTTTAGGGAAAAAGTAAAATAACATTTAACAGAAAAATAAATAATTTTAACTTTTAATATAATGTAAACATTTGTGTAAATGTCCATGGATAATTTTTATGTATTAAAGCATTTATAAAAAGATTAAGAAATTCAATTTTATATATATATATAATTTTTTATCTACGAATTCGAACAAGGTTGTTAAAATTTAATAGAAACAATTAAAGATTTAATATGTTAAAAAACCTGATATAATGAATATCTAATCTTAATAAGAGACGAAAAAATTAAGACAAATACTAAAGTTTATAGTTATTATGATTAAATGTAATGGAAAATGAAAATAAAAATTTTTAATGTTACTTTTAAAAAAAAATTATTTTATTTATTAAATTTAATAAATACAAGTAAGAGGAAATTAATAATGTATATAATATCTATAATCTAATAAATAAATAGAAAATAAAAAAATATAAATAAATAAAAAAAAAAATTCTATAAAGAACAAAAAATATTTTCTATACTTTAATTAATATTTTAATTAAATATAATTATTTATAAAAAAATAAATAAAATATTTATATATTTATAAATAAACATTTTATTATGTTTTAACTTTTTAAATAAATATTATTTTATTATTATTGATATTATTAAATTTAATAATTTATATTTTATCTAAATAATTTTTATTTTTATTAAATTATTTTGATAATATAATAAAATGTTTGTATATATATATATATATAAAAATATATATTTATATATATATATATATTTATTTATTATTTTAAATTTTTACAAATCTTGAAAGATAATAGTAATATTATTTCTAGTTTTATAATTTAATTATGCTCTTTCTCTATGAAAAGCTAAACCTTATAATCATTGATTTTTTTTTTTTTACATATAAATGTATCAAATTAATTTTATTTATTTTATATATCTATATTTTATTATTTATATTATAATTTTTTTTAATATAAAAAAAAAAAAAAAATTGTTTGAAATCAAATAAAATTAACATTTTTTTTTTAGATAATTTTTAAAAAATATATTTTTTCATTTTTTATTTTTTTTCTTTTTCTTACTACCTCCTTAATTTTAATTAATCTACGATTTGCTTTTATTTTTCATTTTACTTTCATTTGAGTTTTCCATTATATTTTATTTTTATTTTAATTCTTCTTCTTCAGCTTACTTTTCTCTTTTAAGTAGTTATTCAAACGAAATATCTTCCACATCAACTTCACCTTTTTTTTTTTATTTTCTTATTTAAATTAATAAATATAACAATACTTTCTTTATAAAAATAGTCATTTTTAATTTCCTCAACTTAACTAGGTATATTTTCCTAAAAATTCTACTCATATGTATCACCTCCATATAATTCTAACTATGAAAAAACTTCAGCATTTTCATCTTTAAAAAGTAACAATTAATCTAAATCATTAACAACACAATTAATCTCGTTCTAAGTAAAAGAAAATCCACCATAAAAAATAACTTATTTCAACCCTTCATTATAACAACTAGCAGCAGAATATCTTAATTCTGGTTTTTTAGAAAGCAAATCTAAATAACTCCATTTCAATCCATTTAAATCTAAAACACTGCATTCCATTTCATGACTATCATTAGCCCTATCATTCCATAAAAAAAGTATTAAATTATCTTCTATTTTGAAGCTATATCCATATGCCATATATTTTGGAATTTATCCCTTTAAATAAATAAGTATATATAAATATATAAAAGTAAGATATTTAAAAATATAAATACAATTAATCTATAATAATTTAAATAAAGAAATATTTTGAAAATAAAAAAAAAAAAAAGCTAATGAAAATTTTATTTGATAAATAAATTTTGTATATAAATAAAAAAAAATAAAAATAATAAGTAAGAAAAACAAATATATATGTGTATATGTATAAATATATATATTAAAGTCAAAATATATAAAAAATTATATATATAATAATATATATATATATATATATATATATATATATATATATTTAAATTTAAATTTATATATTCAATTTTATAAATTTTTTATTATTTTTTAATAATATATTTTTACATTAACATTTAATTATATCCATTCTTAAGTTTTTAAATCAAGCACGTTTATATCAGAATAGAAGCATTCTCTATCAAATATATCATTAGATTTGGTTCCTCCGAATAAAATCATTTTATTTTCTATTATTTCACAACAATGTGAATGTCTCGGAAGAGGTAATTTCCCACTGGTTGAAACTTTTTCCCATTTATAAGTACTTATATCGAAACTATCAAACATATTAGTGGGTTAATTATTATCATTTAGACCGCCGAATATGTAAATTTTAAACATATAAATTACAGCTGAGTAATTTATTCTGAAAGATGATGGCTTTGTATCTATATTTTTAATTGGAAATAGTTTTTTTAAGTCAAAATCTGCACAATATATATGATTATTATCTTTAGAAATCGAGTTTTGGATAAAATATATTCTATTATTTACATAAAAAGTTTATTTATGAAAAAATGTTGTATCTAAATTCAAACAATCGTCTGTATTTAATGTAGTTTTTTATTCTATTTAAAAATTTTTGGGATTTATAATTATTTAAATAAGCTTTTAAGGTGCCGAACAATGTAATATCATTATATTGCCTTGCTTGTTAATATGACATGTACAATTTAAAGTTTTAGGATAAGTGGATTTTTTTTTTGTTTTTAACCAAAAATTATATTTATAAGTATTAATATTATTTTAATTATAATGCATTTTTTTACTTTATTCGAATTTTTGTAAAATATATATATAAATAAATATATATATATATATATATATATATATATATATATTTATATTTTACTTTTTATCATTTTCTTTTTTATATATTAATTTTAATTTTTTTAAATTACATTATTTAAATAAATTAAAAAAGTTTTTAATAAATAATATTTTTAAAATCTAAAAATTTTAATTATTTTTTTAAATTTTATATTTATAACATATATACTATTATAAATAATATTTTTTATATTTAGATTAATTTTAATAATGAATATAATATTTATTCATATTTATTTTTATTTTATGTATAAATATTAAATTTAAATATATAAAATTTAGGATATTTACAATTTTATTTTAATTATTATAGTAAAATATTTTATTAAATAAATATATTATATTTATAATATATATATATATATTAAAATATTTATAATACTTATTTTTAAACATTTTATAAAAATATTTAAAAATAAAATAATTTTTTTTTTAATTATTTTAATTATATATAAAATAAGCAATTTATATTTTGTCTATAAAAGTTTTTATCAAAGAATTTTAATATACATTATTTTTAAAAATATGTGAATTATATAGTTTTTCTGATTTTAATTTTTAATTAATTTTTATTTAATTTTCATATTTTATCTAATATAAATGTTGTAATTATATTAAATCTTGTATAAATCTTTTTTTTAATATCATTTATCTTTAATTTTTAAATTATATATCGAAAAGTAAGTTCTTCATCTAATAAGCTTTTAAATTTCTTTATAAATATATTATTTTTATATTTTTTATCTTTTTTTAAAAATAAATTCATTATTTAATATAAATTTTCATATTTTTATTAATTTTAACATTTAATTGAATTTCTTTAATTTTCTTACTAAAGTTTCTTTTTTTTGGATAATTTATTTTTAGTTTTATTATTTTTCCTCTCTATTATAGAATATTAATTTTTCTAATTCTTATTTTTTTTATTTACTCTTATTTATTTGTTTTTACAATTTGAGTTTGATTTTAATTTTTTTTCTCTTTAAAAAATATTTTTTTTCAATTTATTAATTCAAATATAGAAAATCATAATAAAAAACCTTTTCTTTTTTTTTATATATATTAAAAATTATATATTAAGAAAAGTATTTGTTTTTCATAAAAAATTATTTTGGAATTTTTTTAATTATAAAAGATTATTTAGATTATGTTTTAATTGAAAACATTTTAGTTTTTAAATAATTTTTTTTCAATTTTTTTTTTTTTAAATATTAAGAATATTTTTTCGAGTTTTTGTTTTTTTTTAAAAAAAGACTTTTTATATTTATTTTAATAATTTTATTAGATTCATTATTTATTTTTAATATTATATATTTAGAGATTCTGTAATAATGTGTTTTTAATTTATTTAAAATATGAATAATAATAGATATATAAAATTATTTATTTATAAATTATAATATATTTTATTTATGTTAATTTATATTTTTTATATTCGTTTCTGTCTATATTTAATAATTTCGATTTTACACATTTAATTATTTATTTTTTTTAAACGAAAAAAAAAAATTCTTTTATTTATTTTTATAAATAAAAAATTTTTATTTATTATAAAAAATTAAATTAAATTTTTTTTTTGTTTAAAACAAAAAAAAAAAAATATAAAAAAAAAATATTCTTATTTATTTAGAAATTTCAATATTTAAATCTAATATTGATTTTAATTTTTTATAAAAAAAAAAAAAAACTCTAATTATACACTTTAAATTGGATAAATAATAAAAAAATATATTGATTTAATTTATTTTTTATAGACTAAAAAGAATAAAATATTATATAAAAATACTTAGTTTATTTTTTGTTAATATTTGAATATAACATGATTTAATATGAATAAAATTAATAAGATGAATTAAATAAATATTGGCCTATTTACGGCCGAAAAAAAACAAATGTACCTTCTAATTTTTGGTTAAAAAACGATATATAAATAAAATTAGAAGATTTTGTAAAATAGTAAGAAACAAAATTAAATATAGACGAAGATTTTGATAGTTTTGCGTCTTTAGAAGTAAATAATTAAGAAGAATCTAATTATTAAGTGTATAAATTTGAATTTAATCGAATAGGAAAAAAAAGACAATAATACAAAACTTATTAATACGAAATAGTTAATAATTACTTAGCATATTATAAGAACAAATCTACATTTAAGGGATATATTATCCTTAATTCTGAAATTCTACTCTTAAATAAAATTGTAAAAAGTACAATGGGAGATATTCATTAAGTAGAATTTTACAAAGACAACTAAATAAGGAAAATATTTTCAAAAAACTAATAATAAATTGAAAAATTTTACAATATAATAAGAAATAAATGTATTCTTTAACACTTTTTCGATAATTACAAATTATAAGAAATTTTAGGTTCAGGATCTTTTGCAAGTTAGTATTTTTATTTTTTTATATTAACAATTATTACTTTTTTTTTAAAAAAAAAAAAAAAACAAAACAAAAAAAGATGTTTATAAAGTCATTAGAATATCAGACTAGTAAGTTTTTGCTGCAAAAATAATTAAAAAAGACAAACTTATTTAAAATAATTCCAAAGAAAAGTTTTTTGTAAAATATTTTTTTTTCTTTTTTTGTCTATTTAACAAAAATAAAATAAAAAAAGTAAATGTTAGTAAAGGAACATTAAATACTATAATAATGTAAGCATAAAAACATTTTAAAATCAATAGAAATTTATTAAGACCCAAACCAATTAGTATATATAATGGAATATTTAAGCGGAGGCGAGTTATATGCTCGTTTGAAATTATAAAAAAGATTCACCGAAGAAATAGCAATATAATTAATGTATAATATAACCAGAGGAATATATTATTTACATAAGTAAACAAAAATAAAACAATAGAAAATAGAAAAAAATACATATATAAAGAAAAAAAATAGTCCATAGAGATATTAAACTTGAAAACATTATATTTATAAATAAAGCATAATTAGATTTAAAAGTAATAGACTTCGGTTTTGCATAAAATATAAACTATTAAAAACTAGACAGTAAAGCCGGTACACCAGGTTTTTTACCCCCTGAGTTATTCAAAAACCTCCCATATACAGAAAAAGGTGATGTATTTAGTCTTGGAGTAATTTTATATTGTTTGGTTTCTGGTTAGTCTCCTTTTAAAGGAAAATTATATAAAGAAGTACTAGAGAATAATAGGAGATGTAAGATTTCGTTTGAATCTTCCATATGGAATAAAATAAGTGATGATTGTAAATTTTTAATAAAGAAAATGCTTGAATATGATCCTAAAAAAAGATATTCTTGTAAAGATGTTTTGATGTCTAGATGGATGAGAAAAATAACTTCCAAAATTCCTACTAAAAGTTAAAAATCAATAAATTCTTTTTAAACATAATAAAGTAAATATTAAGTAACAAAAAAATATAGAAAAAAATTAAAATTATTTAAACAAAAAATATATATAAATTTATTTAAGATAGAAGAAGATTCTAATAAAAGTATAACTAGTTAATAAAATTCTTAATTTTCGGATATTAATATGAGTACTATGATAAATCTTTAAAGTAACTGTATGATTAAATCTCTTTATTAATGCAAAAGCTTACTAAAATCTACAAAAAGTTTAAAAAGTTACTTTTCACATAAAAGTATTAAGAATGAAGATAATTAAAATAATGATTTAGATAATAATATTGAAAATAGAAATTAGATTATAGAAAATACTAATTAAAATGAAATTTATAGTTATGAATAATATAATATAGAAGAATTTGATGATTAGTCATATTTATGTTAAAAAATGCTAAGTTTATAGTTACCTTAAAAAATATTTATAGATTAAAATAAATTTTTGTGTAAATTAAATAATTATTTATAATTAATTATATTATTTTTAAATAATTAAAGGAAAAGAGTATCTTATTAATTAAGATTAAATTTTTATTATAAATAATTTTTATTTGATATGTAATTATAAATATTTAAAAGTGTTATATTTTGTAAATATAAATATATATAATTTAAATAAAAAAAATATTTAAATAAATAAATAATATATTACCTATAATTTAAATATATTATATTTGGTAAATTTTTTTTTTATTTTAAATAAAATAAAATATGAAAAAATAATTAAAAAAAAAAATTAATAAAAAAATGTAAATTATAATAAAAACGAAAATTAATAAAAATTTAAATAAAAATATAAATATAAATATAATAGATATAAATATATATATTATTTTCATATTAATATATTTATTTACATATTTTGTATATATTTTTTGCTATGTATATATTATTATTATAAATTAACTATTACTTATATTTTTTACTATATATCAGATTTAATATATGAATATTTTATATTATTGTTATTTTATATTTTTAATGAATATATTAATTTTAAATAATTATATACATTTTTTATAATTTTATTTAATTTTATAGCATATTTTACAATTTATATATTAAAATATTGTTTTTTATAGATTTTTAATCAAATATAAATAATTATTATATTTTTTTTTCTAATAAAGAATAATAAAAGTACTTTTAATTATTTACAGCTTAGTAAAAAACTAAAAATGAATTAGTTTTATCTATATTTATTAAATTAATAAATTTTAAAAAAATGATTTGAAAATTTTTTTTTTTTTTTTAGATGTTATATATAAAAAATAAATAAATAAATAAATAAATAAATAAATAAATAAATAAATAAATAAATAATTAATTTTTTTAAACAGTTTTAATACATAAACTTTTTCCTATTTTAAAATTTATACATATAAATATTAAAATACTATCCCTCAGCTTTATCTAAATTTGCTCTCTATACGAAAATTTTATCAAAAAAGAATTTTTTTCTTCATTTAATGTATTTAATTGATTTCCTTATAAATAAATAATCTTTAAAGTTTTTTCTCTAATACATTGCTTAATAATATTGTTCAGTTTAATAACCATTAACTTCCATCATATATAAAATATGGTTATAATACAAAATCTTAAGAAAAAGAAGAAAGTCTCCATATCAAAAAGCAGTCCCTAAATAGAATATATCCCACAATTTCAATTTTCACTAGTTTCTTCAGTATTTATACCAAAAAAATATAAATCCTTTCAATGATTCCTATCTAATTATTTCTTTATTTTTTTTTAGTGATCGAAAAAACTTATATGAGCCATAATTTATATTCTGAAGCAGGTTTTCGGCCAAAAATACCCATTTTAATAATACATAATTTTAAATTATTCCAGGGTTCCTTTTTGTAAAGATAATAAATTCTATTTATATGTATAAAGTTTTGTTGAAAAGTAGTACATGTAAGTTTATTTAAGGATAAAATTGGCCTTTTATAAATTTTTAATGTTATTTTTCTAAAGATAATTGAAATTTGCCCTTTTTTTGGTTTATGTAAGAGTATATGTTTTTTTTTTTCGGTTAATGTTAATTATACCTTAGACTTTTTTGTTTTTATTTCTCTAAAAAATTTTTAGATTTTGTAAATTTTTTAAAAGTTACTCTGTAAATCTTTGTTATCAAAAAATTAAAAAAACAAGGATAATATATGGAATTGTTCTTTTAGGAAGGATTAGAAATATTATTATTATTATTTTTTAGTTTTTAGTTTTTTTTAGTTATAAAAAAAAGATTATTTTAATAATTTTATATATATTTTATTTATTTGGGATTATTTTTATATATATTTTCATTATTTATTTAAAATATAAATAATTATTATATTAAATATTCATAAAATATATTTATTTATATATAATATATATATATATGTTTTATTAAAATATTATATTTCTTAAAAAAGATATTAATTTTTATTTAAAATATAAAATTTTATATTAAATATGAAAATTTTAAGACTTATATCATCAAATCTTAAAAAAAAAATAGAAAAAAAATTATTAATAAATTATTTAAGAAAAAGAAAAAAAAAAAAAATTATATATATATATATATATATTTTTAACAAAAAAATTCATTCTTCTTATCTATTTTTTCTTTTATAAACGAATTTTTTTTTATTTTAATTATTTTCTTAATTATTAAAATCCTATTATTCCCCTCTATTATTATAATTTTAATAAACTTAAGGAAAAATTTTCTTAAAAGCGATATTTTCTGCATCTTTTTTGGAAAAAAACCATCCTTCTTATTAAAAGAGTATCTATTTATTTTTTTAGAATTAAACAATACACAAGAATCCATTATTAAACAATTATTTAAATTAAACTACAATATTTTGACTAGAAGACTCCATCCTTTAGACTAATTCATACACTTCTTTTTTTCCCGGTATAATTTATTACAATAATCTTACATCTTCTAATTAAAATCCTTAATTCTATTCCTATTTTTCATGTTAATATTAAGATATTTGATTTTTTTCATTTAAATCGAAAACTACATAAGCTAAAATATAAGGAATAGAATCTAAACAGGCATTTTATAAAGCTTCTTTTTTCGAAAATTTCAATTCAGAAATAAAATTTCCGATAATTTAAAAATCCAAAATACACTAAAATAAAGGCTTACTTTATTCATTTTTAAACTCTTTATATTATTATTTAACGAAATCTTTTTAATAAAAATACCTTTAAATAATTTCATTAAAAATCCCAGTGTAGTTTTCCTTTTTTTCAAGTAATAAATTTTAAGCTTTAATAATAAATTCACTTTTATCATCAATTTCTTATAATTATTTTAATAAATTATCAATTTTATTTTCTTTTTTGGTTTAAATAAAAACTTCCTATTATTCTACAATCTATTATTCTTATATTAACTCTAAATATGAAGTTATATTTTGCTTTAATCTATTAATATCACCTTTAGTTTTAATATATATTAAATGTATTAATTAATATATTTCATTAATTGAAATATTATATTATAATGTTAATATTGAAAAGTTATATATATAATTATCTTTATAAAATAATTATAATATAAGATCCAAAATTTAAATGCCTTAAATTTTAGAAAATTTATGTAGAACTTTTTTGTATTAATTATATGTATCTACAAATATATTAGCTTAATCCATAAATAGTGAATTTAAAATAACAATTATATTGAAAAATATTAATTATTTATATTTGTATTAATATAAATATATTTACAAATTATATATATATATATATATAATATATATATATATAAATATAAATATAATAATATAAATATAAATATAAATATTGATAAGAAAAAATATAAAAGTCTCAAAAAAAAAATATACAAATTATACAATTAAAATAAAAACATTAACAAAATTTATAGATAATATTCTAATATTTATGCTTTTAATACAATAATATTAAATTAAAAATTTATAAATATTTATTTCTATATAAATTAACTTTTTTAAATATAATAAAAAATTCTAGGAAATTAATTTTTAAACTTTTATAGTAATAATTAAATACATTTAAATTAAATTTAAAAAATCCAATTTATAATTAGAGCTTTTATAAAATAATTTAAATAAATATATAATTATGACAATAATTAATTAAATCAATAACAATATTTATATTAAAATAAATTGTATTCAATTTAATTAAAAAATATAATAGATCTTAAAATAATATTTAAAATAAAGGGAAATTAAATAATTAAAATTTAATAATAGAATAAAAAATTCAAATAAATATTTATTCGTAAATAAATAAAAATAAACTTTTTTTTTATTTTATAAAATGAATAAAATTCTCAATATTCTTTTCCAATTGCTAAAAGGCTTGTAGCGTATTTATCATTAGACTCAATAGCTTAAAGTTTGCTTATTCCAATATAAAGGACAGGTAATAAAAGTGCAAATAAAAGAAGGAAAGCAAATAATGTTTCAGGTCTTATATTACTCATTCTATTTTCATTTTAAGGAGCAGGCTTAGGGTCTTAATTTTCTTATGAGGCTTCCGATAATTTACGTTAGCTTTTAGTTGTAAAAAGAACCAAAACATTTCCTTCATTAACTTAGTTCATATAATTTTGTAAATTTTATGTATCTGTCAAATGCACGTTTTAAACTTAAATATTATTATTATCCTTAATATATATATATATATATTAAAAATATTTTTTATTTATAATTATTTTACTTATTTAAGATTTTCTATTAAATCTTAAGAATTGTAATTAAGTACAGAATTAAAGGAATTTTCGTTTTTGAATAAATTCTTTATATAAATAAATAAAAAAATACTAAAAATTATTTAATTTTTTTTTTTTTTTTTACTTAAAATTAAGATTATTATAAGTAATTTTTTTTAAAATATTAAATTGTTTAAGGTAATGATTCAGATGTAATTACATTCAAAATTAAATTTTTTGAACTTTTAAGAACCTAAATTTAATTATTTAATATTTTTTGTTTTTTATTTAATTTACTTAATCTTTTAATTTAGGTACTATTTCTTCTAATTTTAAATACATATCTTCAGTTTAAAAAAGATTTCTTTTTTTTTTTTTATTTGAATGTAATTTTTATTATTTCATTTTATTATTTTTTGTAAAAATAAATAAATACATTTTGTCAGTTATTGATGATAAAATCAAAGGCATTTTTTGATTTTCGGAAATTTCAGTAGAATTAATAATTACAATTGTAAGAAAAATTACTAAAATGGAACTATTTAATTTCATTTTTTTTTTATTTATTTATTTATTTTTATATAATATAAAAAAAAGAAAATAAAATATATATATATTTTTTTTATTTTTTATATTTTATTTTTTGTTTTGTTTTTTTCCTTTTTTTTTTTTTTTTTATTAATAATTTAATTTTCTCTTTTCAATAAAAAAAAAATATTATTTAGAATTATAATCAATTTATTCATATTTTTATACATTTCTTTAAGAATATTCATTTATTTTTACTATTTAAATAAAATTTATTCGCTACTTTTTTTAACTATTTACTAAATATTCCCAACCTTTAATTTAACCAAGAAAAAACTTCTAAAAAATCACATCAAAAGCACATCCAAAAAAACTCAAAATTAAACAAAAAAACAGAATAAAAATCGAATAATTTTTATTAAATTCACAAAAAAAATATATCTCTTTTAAATCTTAATTTTCAAAGTATTTTTAGATACAAATCTTTTCCAATAAATAAATTTTTCCGAAAAAAAGCCTAGAAAATGTTCATATACACACACTCTAAAAATGCCCCAAAAAACACTTTTTTTTTTTTTTTGAATATTTATATAAAATATATATCATAAAATCATATAATACAATCTAAAATATATAAAATTCCACAAACTTTTTAAAATATTCATTTTATTCCAAAAAATAAACCCTAAAACACTTTTGATCCCAATAAACGCATTTTTTTCAAAAATACAAACACTTTTTTAATCTCACTTATTAAAATTTCAGACAATTTATCATCTTAAATATCCTAAAAGGAAATCATTCCATTTGTAAAATTATTTTAAATTACTTTTCTTTCTAAAATACCTAAAAACCTCCATATTTAAAATTTAATTTTTCAAAAACCACTGAAATTCCATTTTTTCATTTCAAAATTTCACAATTTTTTTTTCAATTGGAAATTAGAAATCTTGGCTATTTACAAAAAAAGTATATATTTTTAAAATATAAAATAGTTTAAAAGTCTTTATCTAGTGGATCTTATCTAATTTTAAATCCTGTAATAGGATATTTACCGCTTTAAAGAACAAAAAATTTTATGAACAAATTTTATATTATTTATTTTGGCAATTTGAGTTAAAAATATATAGGAGGTACTTTAACAAAATAAAATTCAATTATTATAAATTTTATTATTTTGAAAGTTTTTTGTCTATATACATCTTATGTCTATATATTTATATCTACAAAGCTTTATATATAAAAATTAATAGAAAAAGTGTTTAATGATCTGTAAGAGTAACATTCGGTTATAGTTCCTAGTAAATTAAATTGAAAATAAGGAAATCCGAAAGTTAAATAAAATTTATATATATATATATATATGTATGTATATATATATATATATATATATATATATATATATATATATATATATATATATATATAGTTATATATAGTTATATATAGTTATATATAGTTATATATAGTTATATTAAGAGATTAGACTATCAATCATTTTTATATAAGTATAATAAAAAGTAAATATTAGATTTTTTGAAAATATTTATTTGTAAAATTACAATTATTATTAAGAAAAAGTTAATTTTATATTTATATTTTTTTTTTTTTTTTTTTTTAAAAAAAATACTTTTTTTTTTGTTAATAAAAAATTATATATAATAATAACTTTTTTTTATTTTTAAAAAAATATATGAAAAATCTTCCTTAAATATAAGCTTTGGAAGAAAAAGTTCGTATATTAGAAAATTAAATAGGATTTTCGCAAAATTAAATACTCTAAATGTGGAAAGATAAGGCTTTCTAACTCCTTTTAAGAGAAAAAATAAATATTTTATAAATATAGAGTATAGAAAAGGAAAAAAATAGCCAATTTTTGAATTTTTAGAATTAAATTTAGACACTAGAAATAGAATTGTAAAAAAAAAAAATGAAATTGAATAAATAAAATCCCTTTTTTAATAATATATAGAACTTCCTGGCTAATTAAAAAATGCAAATGATTAAATTTCTGATTTTTAAAATAAAAATTATGATTTATAAAGTAAATTAGTTACTTAAAGAACATAATATGAATAAGAAACATTAAAATAATATTAATAAAATGAAAACTAAATAAAGGAAATATAATAATAATAATAATAGGATATATTTAAATATTAATAGGAAAATGAAAAATAAAAAATAAAATTTTAAATTGAAATTGAAAAATTATAGTAAGAAATTTTTTCTTAAAAAGAAGAAAACAAAATATAGAAAATAGAAAATGAAAATTTAATAAACTAATAGAAAAAACTTTAAGAAAATATATCACTAATATTACTAAAAAACCAAAATTAAGTAAAATAAAATCAAATATAAACATTAATGAGTATATTTAATAAATAAATAAGCTAAAACTACTAAAATATATAATAAAAATTTCTTTAAAATGAAAGAAAACTATATAATCTTCATAATTTAATGATAAAATTAAAAGAAAAATACACTCAGAAATAAATAAAGATATAAATTTAGCATTAAGATTTAAAAAATTAAATAAAAGCTTTATTTTTTTTATGTTTTTAAACTAATCCTTCATGCTTTTCTGCTTAAGAATTACTAAAATAAGTACAAGAAGCATTTTTGGAAATAAAAAAATAAAATAATTCACAAGAAATTCACAAAAAAAACGATATTTAATCTTTTTAATTAAAAATAAATAATCTCGAATAATAAATAGAAAACCAAAAATAAGAAATATAATCAAAAAATCAAAAAATAAACGAAAATTAATACATTAACCCTTAAAAATAAATAAAAAAAATAAAAAAATATAAAGAAATTGCAAAATAAATGAAAGAAATAAACGAAAATTTATAAATAGAAAATTCCAAAAATTAAAAATATAAAGATTAATGTACTGAATTGATTAGAATTTTAGAAAAAAAAGAAAAAAAAATTAAAAACATGAAAGAAATTAATAAAACTTTTTAAGAAAAAATTAATAATTATACATAAAATGAAGGAAAATATAAAAATAAAGAAGAGATTTTGACAAAACTAAATTTTTCAATGTAAATGTTTTCACCAATTAATAATTTCTCAAAAAAAAATGAAGAAAAAAATGATGATTTTAATAAATTAGTTTAAAATGTATTAAATGATGATATATGATTTTATATATATATATATATTAATATTTTATTTGAATTTTAAAAATAAATTTAATGAAAAATTGTTAAAATTTAATAAATATTTAATAAATTTTTTAAAAATATATAATAATATTTTAATAAATCTAATAATATATATTAAAAAAAAATATAATTATAAATAAATAAATATTTTGATAAAAATAAAGAAAAAAAAGATATAAATAATATTTTAAAATAAAATTAAAACAAAATAATATAATATAATATAAAAAAAAAAAATATACCTAAATAAAAATTATAAGATTTTTAAAATAATATATAAATATAATTATAAAAATATAATAATAATAATAATAATATAATAATAATAATAATAATAATAATTATAATAATAATATTTATTTTATTTTTATTTGTAATATTTAATTTTTTTATTCTGATAATAATCTTATAATATTTTTATATCTGAATATTAATTTATAAATATTATTTATATATAATACAATATACTAAGAAAAATGCTTATTTAACTATTAAATATTTTAAAATAAAGCTAAAAATAATAACTTCAAATTTATTAATACTAAAATAAATATAAAATGTTATTATTTACAAAAGCAAATTATACAACTAAATTTATACAAAATTTAATATAAACTTTTTCCAAAAAGGCAAAGTCGTCTAATAAATCTTAAAATAAATAAAATTCATCAAATTATGCCCAACAAAAACAATAAGAAGAATAATTATCTGTAAAAATATACTAATAAAATAAATATAAATTATAAATAGAAAATTCAACCATAAAAAAATACCGTTCAAACGCAGCATTAAAATTATTAGAAATTTAAGAACGCTACCGAATATTAAAATAAGGACACCGCGTATTAGAATTAGGTTGTGCGCCAGGAGGTTGGACTGAAGTAGCAGTTTAATTCACAAAAAGCAAATCTAGAAACCCAACATTATTATCAATTGACAAAGAGATAATGTTGGATGTAACAGGAGCTCATTTTTACAGAGGGGATTTAAAATAGAAATAAACTTAGTTATATATTCCAGAATATTTCAATTTACACCAAGTAGATGTTGTATTGTCTGATCTTTCGCCTGAATTTAGAGGAGATTTAGATCAAGACCATTTATAGTTAATAGATTTAAATTAATTAACATTAGATTTATGTAAGAAAAACCTTAAAATAGGAGGAACTATAATAATGAAAACTTTAAATGGAAGTCTAGAAAAAGATTTCTATAGACTATTTAAAGTTTATTTTTAAGAATTTTTAAGGGTTAAGCCAAGAGCTACTTCATAATATTCTAGTGAATTGTATTATTTAGGAAAAGGATATGGACTTTCAAAAGAATACGAATAAATAAAAAATTTAGAAGATAAATAAATTGTAAATAAAAAAATATTAATTTTATATAAATTTTATGAAAAAAGAGAGGAATATGTATAAATGAAATAAATGAAGATGATATTCCTGATCTTGGATTCAGTGATTAAGAATTATTAGAAAAAGCAAAATCCTTTATATTAAATATGTATGATGAAGGATAATAATGTAAATATAAATATAAATATAAATATAAATATAAATAAAAATATAAATATAAATAAAAATATAAATATATTTATATTTATATTGATATATATATTTATAATTATATTAATATATATATAAATATATATAAAAATATATATATTTATATATATAATATTATAGTATCAGAATAAGAAATATTGGAATTTAAAAAATATCCATTAAATATAGATTGGGATTTATTAAAACCTTAGTCAAGTGAATAAATAGATAAAAGAAAATCTAAATATGACGAAACAAAACTTTATAATGTAAAAATAAAAAATACTTATATTCATATTTTTAGGATTATTTAAAATATTATGGAAATAATTTAACATTTACAAAAGAAAAACCTTTAACATTTCAAAAATTTTTATAAGATTTTATTAGTTAAAAGTCAATATATGTTGATGAATAATTAAAATCAACTTCGACACCTGAAGATATTGAAAAGTTTATAATTAGAACATCTATGGCATATAATGAAAAAGAATCAGAAGATCCTATTCATTAAAAAGATCTTTTTTTGGAAGAAGAAAATGATTATAATCCTTTTCATGATGAAGATGAAAAAGCAAAATTAAATTAAAAAGTTAAATAGTTTTATGATAATTATTAAAAAGATTCTTAAGAATTTGATCCTTTGTCCCCTGAAAACTAATATTCTCCAGATGAACAACCTACTTCATTGGACGATGTAAAATATAAATCAATACACGCTGTGGAAATTCAATTTAAAAATGAAAAAGAAAAAAACAATAAAAATGTAAGAGAAGATTTAGAAGAATAAATTCAAGAAGGAGAACTAGATCTTGATGATTTAAATGATGACGAAAAATAAATTCTTGTTGATGAAATCGAAAATAATTAATCTGACGACGAATTTTTAGATTCTTTTACTAGTAAAATTTTATATATATTTATTTAAATAATATATATATTTACTATTTTTTTTAGGAGATGATATTTAATTAACTTCTAAAAAATAAAAAAATATTGAATCTGATCATTTAAAAGCAGAGGATTTAGAAAGAGAATTTTTTAGAAAAAGAAGATGAATTTAATTTTATATAATAAATATATAAATATACATTATTATAAATTAATATATATATATATATATTTATTTTGTTATCATTTAAAATATTTCTTTAGTTATTCAAATTTAGATTTTTTATATCCGTCTTTTCTACTTTCTATATAAGCTTATATTATTTCTTAATTTAAGTTTTTAAAGTTTTCTTCTTATTCTAATAAATAATTTTCTAAATTTTCTTTTTCTATCTTTTTTTTTTTTTTTTATAAAAAATAATTTTTTTATACATATATTAAACAAAAAAGAAAAATACCTTTAAAATATTTACTAATAATTTTAAATATTCAAACCTTGAAATTATTTATTGGGAACTAAACTCTTATAAAATCAACTTTTCATATTCTGATAAATCAATACAAACTTACAAAGCACCTTCATAATTTATTTTAAATTTAACGAAATGTTCCTAAAGTATTCTTTTTTATTAAAAAAAAATAAAACAAAAAATATTTATTTTTACGATATTATTTAAAGTCCTAAAGATTCTAAAACCCTTACTTTATTAGCCGAAGAAGAATTTTATTTTATAGTTTTAGTGTATTTTTTGATAAAAGATATAAATTCTTAACAAGCTTAAGTTGGTTCATTATGAGCTTATCCTTCTTTTATAAGGAAATCTTTAGTATTTTATTATTCATTTAGAATTCTGTTGCAATTAATAAAAATCGAGGCTAATGCACATTACATTGATTTTTATATATTTAATTCAAGAACTTTAATAAGATTTTCTTTTTTATTCTCTACATTCATCATTGATTACTAATTGTCATAATTTTTCTATATTTTTTCATAAATAATTTTTTAATAATCTTTAATTTTTACCATATATTAACTATAGATCAAATCCATTCTATTAGCAAGCATATTAATTTAAGGAATTACTTCAAAAAACTCTTCATTTAAATATGTTTTTCGATTTAATGAAGGAACCGTTTATGTGGAACTATTTTTTTTTATATAGAAATAAAATAAAAAAATTACTATTATATTAAAGTAGCTAACAATTCATTTCCAAAAATATCCAAAAAAGTTTCAAGTAGAATAGTTTAATTTTTTATTCTTTATTTATTTTTATTTTTTTTAATATACATTAAAAAGATTTTAAATAAATAAATAAAAAACATTTAATCTGGTAAAGATAATTTCTAATTTCTTTTTAAAGCATTTGTAATAGCAAAAAACATAATTTCTATGTATTCTTATAAAAGAATTTCTTTTAGAATATTTAATCTAATAGACATTTCTTATTTAGCTATTTTATTTTTATAAAAATTATACAAATATATATCTATATTTAAAAAAATACTTAATCTAACTTAATCTTATTATTCATCATTTAAAATGTTATTTTCAATCCATTTTTTTATTTCACCTTTGATTCTTTCTTTATCCTTTTTTTAAGATAGAAAAAAATAAAAATTAAACATAAAATAAATTATTAATTAATAAAATTTTAGTACTAAATCATTTGAGCGTTTTAACTATTCTAAAATAATATTTACATTATCAGTTAAAACTTTTTCTAACTCATTAATTTCGAATATAAAATAAATCTCTTGATATTCTTAGAATAAAGAAATACTAAAAGAACAACATAATTCATTAAGTTAAGCATTTAAAGTGCATTTAATTTTCAGAATATCACTAATTAACTATTATACATTATCATATAATTAATTCATTTAACTTAAAAATTAATTATTATCACATTTAGAATTGTCAAGAATTCCCTTTACTGTTTTCCCAATCTTTAAAAAAAAAAAAAAATTAAAAAATTAAAATTTTTTACGATTTCTTCAAAAGCATAAGCTACGAAACTTTTCAAAAAATCATTACTATAACCTTAAAAAATTTCAGGAATTTAATAATAATTTTTTTCTTCTTCATCTGAAGTAGAATCACATAAGGCTTTTTTGAAAGCATCAAAAACGAGAAAAAATTAATTGTCAACTTCACCTTTTATTTCAGTAATAGATTTGGTTTAAAAATCAATATTTCTTAATTTTTTTTATTTAATATTTCTAAAAAAATTAATATTTACATTTTTAAATTTCCTAATATATATTCGATATAAAATTCAGAAACTTTATCCATAATATCGTATTTATTTATTATATTTAAATATTTCTTTAAGTTTTCCAAATCTAACTACCAGAAAGCCTCTTTGAATTTAATTAATATTTTCAAAACAAATTATTCATACATTTCTTTTATATTTTAAATTCCTATTTTATATTCATTTATAGCTCCTATGCTCAAACATATTTTATATAATAATAATATATTCTATGAGGCAATTTCTATATTTTATATTTAATTATCAACTACTACTTCTCTATACATTTGCGGATGATATTTATTATCTTTCCTTTTTTTTATAAAAATATAATAAAAAGATAATTAACTTTTCTTTATACTTATTAAATTATTTAAAATCTTCTAGCAATTATTTAGTATTTAAATTTTTTTACTTTTCATTACTAATATTAACTAATTCTTATTCAACATTTATATTTCCAATATTTAATTATTATAATTAAAATTCGATTTACTAATAAACTATTTTCAAATTCTTTTTTTTTTTTCAAAAAAATAAAAAGTAATTTTGGATAAATATTTTTAATTTTAAAACTTTAAATTCGCCATATATTTCCTCCTTTTCTCTTGTTTATGATTCTAAATTTATTTCATTTACCATTATTTAAGTTTCTAATTCTTCAGTAATCTTTAATAATTTTATTATTATATATTTTTTTTAAGTAAATTTAAAAACATTTGCATTTTTTCATATTATTTTTAATGAATACTTTTTCTTTTAAAGATGCCATTTTATCTGTTATTTATTACATAATACTGCTTATTTAATCTATTTTTGGTTATGATTCATCGAAAGTTTCTTTATATTTATTATATTTTTCCTTAAAAATATTAATTTATTTACCTATTGTTATTCCTTAATTTATAAAAATCTATTAAAGAAACTAACTAGGTTAAAAATTAGAACTCTAAATAGTAAATTATTTTAATGAATAAATGAATATAAATTATTAAATACTTAAAGTTCTTCTTTTTGAAAAAGTTCATTAATTTAAGATTAATAAATACTCATATTTCAAAAAATAAAGAAAAAAAATATTATTAATAAATAAATATTATTATTTATAAATAAATATTATTATTTTATAAATAAATAAAAAGAATATCAAGATATAAATATAAATAGATGGAAGAATAAAAGATAAAAACGGGTTCTATAATAATAAAAGGAAGCCAAAGACCTGATGGAACATTTAGAAAAGATATAAAAGTAAAAGAAGGACATGTGAATTAGTTTGAATTATAGAAATATGTAATACCATAAAAAAGGTAATTTATAAAAAATAAAAAGTATCTAAAATAGAAAAAAATAAGCTATTTGATAAAAATAAAAATATTTATTAATTAAGAAGTTAAAACTTGATCTAAAAAAAACCTGAACAAGAGAAAAAAATCCTTCAATAAGATTCCATAAATGATAATTTTATATAAAATAAAAATACAGATATTTATAATGAATAAAAAATAATCTAAAATTAGAATCTATAAAATTAAGAAGAAAATATTAAAACTAAAGAAGAATCTATTGAAAAAAAAGAAGAAATTCAAAAAATAAACTAAGAAGAACTTGTTTCTTTAAATATATAAAAAGAAATTAAAAAATTAGAAAAAAAAATAAGAGAAATCGAGTTGTTGGAAAAAAAAAACAAAACGGAATAGAAATAAAATAAGACGCAGAAGAAAAAATTATCAAAAAACAAAGTTTTATATAATAATTAAAAAATTTAAAAATTTGAATATAAAAACAAAAAAATATTTATTTTTTTTTAAAAAAAAATGAAGTATAAAGATATATATATATTTAAAATAATAAATACAAATTTTAATAATAATAATAAAAATATTAAAAAAATATACATATTAAATTGTATTAAAACTATACCTATATTTTCAACTCTAAAAAAAAAATATAGAATATGAACCAAAATTAAAATAACTAATAAATAAGTAGATACTCAACCACTTCAGAAAACAAAATAATAAATATATTAAATGAAACAATAAGTCCCGAAAACCCTATATAATAACCTAAAAAGCCTTAATTTTTAAAACAAATAAATTTATATGACGAATCATTTTACGATTTAATAATTCACAAAAAAATTTTGTAATTTGAATTTGGTAAAACGAAATAAGAAAAAACCATTTTTAAAAATTATTTTTTATCATAATCTTATTTTTCACAAAATCAAGTTTTATTAATAAATCATAATTCCATAATAGAAAAAAGTCAATTTATATTATATTTTATTTCTGAAATATTATCTTCTTAAGCAAATCTCAATAAATATGATGATAAAACAATTCCTTTTGAAATTTTATTCATAGATAATTCCCAATAATTAGATTTTTTAGAATTAAAATACTAAATAGAGTAAAAAATAGCATTTTAAAATAAACTCAAAGAAAATTCTATTCCAAATGCTGCATTAGATTGCTTAAAAAGGCTTCATATTTTAAAAAACACATCCCTATAAGATTTCTTATTGAACATAAGGAGCGTAAAGAACATTCTAAACTCCAATAAGGCAATAAGAATTGTCATAATAGACGAAATAAATGCCTTTTGGATTGAAAATACAAGCAAAAATCTCCCAAGAGACTATTAAGAATCAGACAAGAAACGTAGAAAGAGCCATTTGAAAAACTTAAAAGAATAATAAAAAGAATTTTTAAAAGAATATTTAAACGAAATATATATTTTTTATTCAAGATGTGCTTTTTTAGTTACAAAAAGACATTATTACAAATAAAAATAATTAATAGATTTTGATAAAGAAAACTAAATTTTTATCCTAAATTAATATTTAAAAAATATATTCAAAAAAGATTAGATTTCGGATGAAAATAATGGATTTTTTCTACAAAATACATATTTTTTATGTTTAGATAATTTCTCTTAAACCGCAATTGAGTAAACTTTTTCTTTAATAAAGGAAAATAATTATTTCTAAACAAATTTCTAAAATATTAACTTCAATTAAATTAGCATAGTTGTCAGAAAAAACCAAGTTTTTCTTGAATAAAGTTAAAAATAAACAAATCTTAATTAAAATAATGATGAAAAATATACTATTAGTTTTTATTTATTTATTAATGGAAATTTTTAACATTTAATTGATTATTAGCTTTTATCTTTTTGAAATTTTTTTATTTTATTTTTTAAATGAAATAAAAAAATTCTTCTTTTGATTAACAAAAAATATATATATATATATATATATATATATATATATATATATATATATATATATATATATATATATATATATATATATATTTTTATTTATTCTATAAATAAAGTAAATATATTATTTTATGAAAACTTAAATAATTAAGCTGTCTAAATTGATTTCAGAATAATAATAATCGAAATTAAAAAATCTAAAGAAGTTTAGTCTAAATATAATATTAAAGTATTTCTAAAGATTGTCATTTTAATTTATTTAAAATAAAATTTGTTTATAATTTCGATTATTTATATAATTTAATAAAATTATATTTAAAAAAAAAAATATAAAATTATATAAAACAAAATATTTGATTTTAATAACCAAAAATAATGCAATAATAAAAAAAAAATTTAAAAAGTTGAGAAATATTTAATTAAATATAAAATATAAGAAAAAATAAAATTATAAAATTTTAACTTACAAAAAAAAAAAAAAAAAAAAGTAATAATAATAATAAAAAAAATAAAAAAAACTTAAAATTAATAAAAATGGAAAAATATAATATAATTCAAAATTTAGGAGATGGTACATACGGTCAAGTTTACAAAGCTTAAAATATAAAAACAGGAGAATATGTGGCAATAAAAAAATTAAAAAGAAAATATACAAACTGGGATGAATGTATGTCATTACGTGAAGTACGTTCTTTGCGCAAACTAAATCATATAAATCTAGTGAAATTAAAAGAGATATTCTAAATAAAAGACGAATTAATGTTAGTATTCGAATATTTAGAATTAAACTTGTATTAAATGTACATGAAATATAAAGAATAAAAGAAAAGCATTCCATTAAAAACTATTTAAAGTATTATATATTAAATAGCAAAAGGTCTAGATTCTCTTCATAAAACTGGATATTTTCATAGAGATTTAAAACCTGAAAATATATTAATAAATTAATCTGAAAATTAAGTAAAAATTTGCGATTTTGGACTTGCAAGAGAAGTATATATTATAAAAAAATATAAATTATGTATAAATATATATTTATATATGTAATATAAATATAAATATAAATATAAATATAAATATATTTATATATATATATTTATATATATATATATATTATCTTTTTATGTATATATTAATTTTATTTATATATATATAAAGGTTAGATGTAGACCTCCATTTACAGAATATGTATCTACAAGATGGTATAGAGCACCTGAAGTTTTATTACATAGTTAATCATATAATTCTCCTATCGATATATTTTCATTAGGATGTATAATGGCTGAATTATATCTTTTAAATCCATTGTTTTCAGGTAATTCAGAACTTGATTAATTTTTTAAAATTGTTAATCTTATGGGAACTCCAATTAATTGGAATGAAGGCTTTAATTTGGCAATGAGAATGGGTGTCAATATTCCTAAAAAGGAAAATATTCCTTTGTAATAAATAATTCCGAGATTAACTAATTAAGCTAACTAATTATTAAATGATATGCTTTAATATGATCCTTAAAAAAGGCCTTCAGCATCTTAAATATTAAAATATAGTTATTTTTATGATTTATAATAATAAGAAGAAGAAAGAAATCCTTTTTTATTTTTTAAAGATGATTATTTTAAAACATCTTAAATGTAAATAAAATAAGATTAAAATAAAAAAGAAAATTTAGAAAATAAAAATAATTTTAATAATATTTATTCAAATTAGTATTAGAATATATAATAGTAATGTTAAATATAAAATATTGAAAACAAATACTCAAAATAAAATATACACTAATAATAATAATAATAATAATAATAATAATAATAATAATAATATTAATAATAGTTATAAAAGTAGAACTTTTCTTTAACTTTAGATAAAAATTATATGCTTTAAAATAAATATAATTTTTTTGATATTAATTAATAGACGTATTTTCCTTCGTTTAAAAATTAGGAATCTTTAGCTAAAGAATAAAGAATTGCTAATATTCTTAATCCTTTAAATAAATTATCAAATAATTATTAAATAGAAAAAAATAATTGTATATTTTTTTTATTTTTTATATATTGTATATTTTTATTTAGATAACAAAGAAATTTATTAAATTTACAACGATTTTAGAAGATAATTTTGAAAAATATATAAAAATTATAAACTTTTTACATATAATAAATTATATAATTTTTTACAATTATTTTCTATAATAATTAAATAATAATTTTTAATTTAAATAAAATTCATATTTAATAAAATATTTAATTTATTTATATATATTAATAATAATTTATATTAATCTTAACAAAATTAAATATAATTATCTTTATTATATAATATATATATAATTTTATAAGCAAAATTTACTATAATTTATATTTTTAATTCACTTATTGGTATAAAGAAATTTTTAAAAAGATTAAATTCTTAATGTGAAATTTATTAAATTGTATCATATATACTATTTTTTTTCACAAAAAGTGCCATGAAATGCCTTGTAATAAAAAAGTATCAAAGTAACATATTCTTTATATCAATCCATATGTAAAAAACTATATTAAAATTAATAATTATACAATAATAAAATCACCTTTGAAACTACCTGAAATAATAGAAGATGTTTCTTTTCATTAGAAATACATAACAACTCATTAAGATAAATTTAGGTTATAAACCCTTTTTTTCCTTTTCTTTTTCCCCCAATTTTCTATAAAGAAACATAAAGTCTAATATAATGTGGCAAAGTCTCAAATTATTTTTATTGCATAAAAATATTTAGTAAATTAGTACTTTATAGTATTTTCTTTATCAAAAAAACTAAATTTAAATACCTAAATTCGAATTTTCAGAATTCACTATTCCTATTTTAAATCCAAAAATAATTAGATGTATTTAATATTAGAAAAAATGCTATTAATGAAAATTCCAGTATATAATTTATTATTTCTATTATCCACTATTCAATAAAGGAAAAAATATATATAAAAGTTTATAGGTTAAGGATTTTGTGAGTTTTATATATAATGCATAAAATAATATATATAGATAATTATCAGGATTAAATTTGCATCAAAGAGGAGAAAATTAAAATACATATTATGAAAAATAATGAATGAAATAATCGAAAATATTAAATAAGTACATTAAAATATTAAAAAGAAAAATATGTAAATAAAATAAATTCTTAGAATCCAAAATAAACTAAAATAATTTTTATTAAATAATTATTTTCTACTTTTTATGTTTTTGTTTCAAATTTATATACTTCTATTTATGCGAAATTATTCTTAATTTCCATACAATTAATTATGTTTAGAAAGTTTACATTAAAAATAAATAAATATTTAATTGCATATTTACAATAACACATATAAATTATTTAGTTTTTAAAATAAAAATCATTTTTTTTAATTTATAGTATCAAGAAGGTAAAGTGCTTTCCCGAAAAAATCAATTCAAATGCTTTTTCATCCATAAAGAAAATATTTTTGATTAATGCTATTATGATAATTTTTAATAAATAAACTATAATCTTTTTAAATTATTCTTTATATTTTTTCACTCATAATGATTTATTTTTATATTAAAAAATCGTTATTGATTGATATAATTTATTTAACTTAATCACTTTTTTATTAATATTAATTTTGTTAAAATTATAATCTAATGTTGTTTTACAAACATTTTCGACTATTAAATTATAAATTAAAAATATTATTTATTATCAAAATACTATTATTGACTTTTTAATATATATTTTCATATTTAAATATTTTCTTGATATATATTATTTATATTTATAATAAATATTTAAGTTTTTAATTATTAAAATTAAAAAATATAAATAAAAAAAAGATATATAGATATATAATAAAAAATATATATTTAAACATAAAAATGAAATTGAAAAAAATAATCAAATTTACATTCTCATCAGTTCAAAATACAGAACTAACAAAATATTTTACAAACCAAAAAGAAATCTACACACAAAAAGAATAAACCGGTTCATCCATAATAGAAATAATTCCCCGTGGAAAATACAGACAAACTTATGACTATATAACGGAAGGAAAAACGATATCGAATTTCATAGTTAAAAAAATTACTAAAATTCCCGATTATAATTTGAAAGTGTTTCAATTAGACCATAAAAATTCTAATTCTACTTATATTCATATAGATGCAAATGATTATAACAATACGTTTGCAATAATAATACACACCCCCCCCGAAAATGACCATGGTATTCCTTTTTTAACCCAAAAACTAGTCTTATAAGGTTCTTAGAAATTCCCTGTAAAAAACATTTTTCAAAATATGTGTGACGGTCGTTCTATGAATACCTAATAGGAGCCTTGGACAGGCACAGAATATTCGATATTTCCCTTTTCTACCACAAACGAAGTAGATTTTCGTAATTTAATGGAAGTATATATTGAAAGTATATATAATTCCTTAAAAAAACGCGAAGATTTTTTACTTGAAGGGATCCGTATAGAAATCGAAGATGATAAAATAAACTTTAAAGGTAGTGGATTTGAAGAAAACGTGTTTTTTTAACAAAAACATGACAATATTTTACTTTAAAATTTATAAGAAAACATTTATAAAGGTTAATATTTTTCTTTTTCGAATAAAAATTTAAATTCAGCTACATTTGAAGAAGTCCTTTATTTTTACCAAAAAAATTATGTTTTTTCGTCTTCATCTTTTTTTTCTTACGGAGATCTTGATTTTACAAATCATTTATAAAAAATAGACTCTTTTCTTTCCCAATAAAAAATAAATAATAATAATCCACAAATTGTTGATTATTAAATAAAAAGTGAAAAATTCTAGCGTCCTGAAAAAATATAATACCCCAAATAAGTAATTTCTTATTTTCCAGTTTATTCTAAGGAATAAAAAGGGACTTTTTCAGTCTCTTTTTTATGTAACGATTTAATATTAGAACCTGAGTATACTCTTCCACTCATTTTTTTGAGTTATATATTATTTGAACTGCCAGAATCACCATTTTTTTAGAATTTTTTGGATTGCCAAAAAGCACCAAAATATTGTCCTGGTTACGGATATGACAAAACTAACCGAATTACAACTTTTACGATTGGTTTTAGTGACTTTTCTAACGACAAAGAAGCTATGTTAAAAGAAACCTACCAAGAAATAATGTAAATACTAAAAAGTATATATGAAAAAGGTTTAGAAGATAAATTAGTTGATTTCGCATTAAACTATATGGAAAGTTCATCCAAAGAATTAAAAGGAGAATCTAATGTAGGGCTAAATATTCTTGAAAACGCGATTCCTTATATTTTACATAAAAGCGAAAAATGGAAAGATTTATTATAAATTGAAAAAGAATTTTCAAAATTAAAATAAAATATTAAAAAAATAATATAATACAAAATATAGTATAAAAATATTTTATAGATAATAATCATTGTATAATTTCTATTTTACTTCCAGATATAAATTTTATGTAGTCTTTTTAGGAAAACTAAAACAAATTAGCAAAAAATTATTAAATTAATTAACAGAAAAATAAAAAAAAGAAATAAAATAATAAGTAATAATAATTAATAAAAAAAAATAATATATATATATATTATAAAATTATAAATATATAATTATATATAAAAAAAATATGTATTAAATATTAAAATAAATAAATTATTTTTATATATTTATATTATATAAATATTTTTTTATATTTTTTTTTTATATGTTTTATTTATATATTTTTATTTTCTTTTTTTTATTATATATTATACTAATAGAGTTTATAGCTAATTTAACATTTAAATTTAATTTAAAATCTTAATGTTTTACCTTAATTAAAAGTTTTTGATTTATAACCTTTAATAGAAAAATTTTAATATGAAGAATAATTAATTTAAGGAGTTAAAGTATTTTTTACAGATTAATAAACAAATGGCATTACTTATTTAAGAATTTCTTTTCAAATAAATGATCTAGATCCGGAATATATGCATTTCTTGAACTTTTTTGTTGTACATTTACATCATTAGGTTCTAATGGTTTAAATTCATAAAAAATGGACATATTAATAAATAATTACACAAACGAATTCGAATTAAAGCCATATATTTTCAGAGATATTGAAAAAGGAGATGAATTAATTCATAAAAAGATTCTTTTAACAATTTCTTTTTAAGATAAATATTTAGAATAAGCTTTTACAATATTAAACGATCTTTTATCATGTAAAAAAAAAACTAATAATATACATATATATACAAATAAATTTAATAAAACTAAAAAAAGCCCCTGATTTTTAAAATTTAACTTCAATATCACAAAATTTATAATATTATGCTAGTAGATTTGCAAATAATTTATCTGAAGATCCATTAAAATTAGGTATAAATTTAGCAAATTCATCATTAAATACATCTTCTTTTTTAAATGATTATCTAAAACAAACTAAAGATATGTGTTCATTAGCTTTAGATATGTAGAAATCATATAATATTAAATACGATTTATAAAACATAGTATTTCCTTTATAATAAATTTTTTTAAAAATGATTTAAAAAAACCGTATTTAAATGCTTGTACATACTAATGCTTAAAACAATAATTTAGTTTCTAGAAGAATAGAAATTCTATTATAAACAATCAAACTTTTTTAACCTAATTTTACACATTCTTAAGAATCTAACCTTCCTGTGATTCTTAAAAATACATAATTTTTGCATTCTATTATAGCACTTCCTATTACTACCAATTATATAGTAGAATCATTTCTTATGTCTAAATAAATATTACACAAAAGTACACCTGTGCTTCATTTAGCAGGAGAGATAATTTAAAACAGTATACATTTTTAATAAATAAAAAGTTTAGAAGGGGTATATGATGCAGGATATTATATGAATATTAATGGTACATTTTCTTTATATTCTTACAGAGACTCAAAAAGTGCTTCAAGATTTTAAACATTCGAAAAAGGAATATAATATATTACAGGAAAATAATTTTCGTATTATTATTTATATAAAATATAAAAAAATAAAATATAGAAACGATGATATTTTAAAAGCCAAAATAAAAATATTGACTAAAATTGATAAAAACATTCCTAATTATGAAAAAGGATTAAAATGGTTTCTTTTTGATTTGAATGATAAAATAAGATTAAATTATAGATAAGCTTTATTAGCAACAGATTATAAAGTATAAATAAATAAATATATAAATATATAAATATATAAATATATATATAAATATAAATATATATATATATTAATATTTACATTATATAATAATAGGATATTGTATAAACATCTGAATAATTTTTACTTGATAAAATTTAAAAAGGTTAAAGTAGTTAAGTAATGGTACTATGTCAAGATAATGTAGAAAAATATGTAAAATTAGGATGGAAAATTGAAAAAGCTGTACATGGTATTTCAGTTAAATAATAAAGTTATAAATAAAATGAAAATTAATAGTTTACTTTTAGTTAATTTATTTGATATTTAATTATTTTTTTTATTTAATCAAGTAATTAATAAATTTTATTTGAATAAAAAATTATAAATATATTTTTAATGTTTATTAACTTTTAGATTATATAAAAGTTTATTTTTATAATATTAATATTATTACTATAAACATTTTTTTTTAAATATTTCAAAATAATTAATATTAAATTTTTAAAACAATGAACTATAGCTATATAAATCTCTAATTATGTTAAACTTTTAAAAATTATCTATTTATTTATAATAAATTCAACATAATTTTTATATAGTTAAAAAAAAAAAAAAATTAAAAAAACTTCATAATTAATTGATAGAAAGGATATTTTTTTTAAATAAAAATATAATAATAAAACAAGAATTTAGATTAAAAAATTTTAAACTTGATTATTAATAAAAATAAAATTAATATTTATTTAAATAGACTGATATACATTTAATAAACTGATATACATTCAATAAACTTTAATTATTACTTTAAGAAACGAAAACAAATGATATTTTTATTATGAAAAACAATAATTAATAAATAATTTTTTTTTCTGATAATAATAAAAAAAACAAAAAATTTTCACTAATTTTAATTTAAGAAATAAATACTGTAATAATAAAAAGATAATTATAATATTAATATTATCAATCATTATAAAAACTAAAATTAAATGATAAAAATAATATTAATTAAATTGATTTCTTATATAAAAGTTGATGCTAAAGTATAAAATAATATATTTATTTAATATTAAATATAAATTTAAATAATTAATATTCATTTTTTAATAAAAGATAAATGAACTATTTTAAAATGAATATAAAATTACTAAAAAATATCAATGTAATTTATAAAAAAGAGACAATAAAAGAGATAAAAATAAATTTATATAAATAATTAATTTTCCTTTTAAATGTTTAAAAAACAATAAGAAAAATAATATTTTTTTAATAAAAAAAACAAAATATTAATTTAAATTTTTTTTTTTTAAATAAAATAAATATTAAAGAAAGTATTAAATAAATAAAAGTAGAAAAATGTCTTTAAAAGTCAATAATAAAGAAGAAAATTTCATACAAATAAACAATTATTTATAGCAAACTAAAAATGATCTATAAAAAAAAAACTAAATAAAAAACTAATAAACTCAAATAAAATATAATTTAAACACATAAAATTAAGAAATAAAAAATGTTAAGAGTTTTGTAGGACTTAAATACATGTTAAGTCCTCCAATAAAAGAAGAAGAATAAAAACACATACCTACTTTAAACTTAACATAGAATATTTTAAACTAACAAAAGTCGTTAATATAGGATTATTCAATTCAAAAAAAACAAGCAAATCCTAAAAACAATATATCAGAACAAACAATAAATAATATAAACAACTCTCCGTAATAAGGGTAGTTTAATTTGCAAACAAATCAATTAAATAATCATTCTTCAAAGTCCTCTACAGGAAACAATTCTCATTTGAATAGTACAAAAAGAATATAATCTTAATAAATAAACAATAATCATAAATAAAAATCAATAACTCAAAAAGTAAAAAAATAAATATATTTTGAAATAAAAAAAAAATAGAATTTTTATTTACAAGAAAAAACAAATACTGCAAACAATTTATAATCTGCAGAAATTCTGAATGAAAACTTAAATAAAAAACTGAGTATACTCTAAAATCATAGTAGAAAAGAAAGTACATAAACCATAGAAAACATAAACTATAATACAAAAAACAACTTAAAAAATAACGCCAATACAAACAATAGTAACCATTCATTTATATAATAACAAAACATAAACTCAAGTAGTACATCAACTATATTTGAAAAATTAAAAAAGAAAAAATTGAATAACTTATCAATAGGAGCTTATAATTCCCATTAATTAATACCAGGAAATATTTAATAATAAAGCTAAATGATCAAATAATAAACAATTAATCCTTTTACATAAAAAAATTAAATATAATAATAATACAATAATTCTTAAACATTATAAAATAAATTTTATTCTACGAGTAGTTATATAAAGTCAAATCATTTAAAAAATGATAAAAATAATAATACATAGAAGACAATTAATAATACAAGCTAAAAAAACATGCAAATAAAAACAAATATTTCTTCTGAAAGCCAAAATTTAATTCATAGAAAAATAAATTCTTTAATAAATATTTCTCCTCAAATAAATAATCAAAAAAACATTAATTTAATTCCTTAATCTTGTCAAAATACGAATGATTAATAAAAATATTTTTAAAAAATCAATCAAACAAAAAACACTGATTAATAAATTAAAATAACTTAAAATAAGGTAGATCTAACTTTAAAAAATACCAAAGATCAACAATTAGGTAAATTAAAAGTTGAAAATACCCAAAATTAAATTCTTTAAACATTCCAAGAAAATAATTTTGTTGAAAATAATTAAATTTTAATTAAAAAATTACAAGAAAAACCCCATTGTTTATAAAATGTCATTGAAATATTAAACATTTTCCAAAATTATGATTTCGCATATAAACCCGCACTTACATAATTACAAATAAGCTTAATAACAATAAATTAAGAATATTAATAAAAATAACAATAAATAAAAACTTACGAAGAAGAAAAAAAAAAAAATGAATAATAAAAAAGAAAAAAAAAAGACCAAGAAACATAAACAACAAAAAAATAAAAAGAAAAAAATAATGAAAAAAGTCAAATTATTTAAATTTGTGACTAAAACGGAAACGTACAAGATGTAGATACAGATAAAGAAAACGAATTGTTAAGGGATTACATTTTAGATTAAGAAAAAAATATAACTTAATTTAAAGAAAAAGAGACTAAATTAGTTTAATTATTAACTGCTATTAAAAAAAAAGGAATCGATATAGACCTTATTTATGACCAGGAAGTCGCAAATAAAAATCTAAGTAATTAAGATGAAGATAATAATGACCTAATAATTAAATAAATACCTTCATTTAATAATAATAATAATAAAAATTAAATTTTATCAAAGAAAAAAGAAAAAATTAATTTCAAAGAATAATTTAATGATTATGCTGACAATTCAAGTATTTTTATATTTTTCGAAATGATTTATATTTTTTTAATTTATAGTTATTAATGATTCAGATGAAAGTAGTTTTGGATTCTATGGAAAGCCAATAAGCTAAAGAGATGAAAGTTTAAGACAATACGAATATGTAAAAAACTATAATAAATCTTATGCTAAAAATAATTAGAATCTACCTGATAAATTAAAAAATAAACTTTATTTGAATTTATAGAATGTATAAATAAGTGATAGTGATAATGATGAAAATTAACAAATCTTACAAAAACTATAAATTACTTAAAAATAATTAAATGATTTATAAAAATAAATTGAAAAAAATCCCAATAAATTAACCGAAGAATAAATCTTGTTTATTGAAAGAATCAACTAATTTTAAATGTAATAATAATAGTAATAATAACTTGAAAGTGTACTTGGAAATGAATCTCCTTCTTAAATTTAAAAAGAAAATTAATCTAATATTATTACTTCTGATTTAAAAACGGAATTTGAAATTTATTAGAATGAGGATTCAACTAAATTCAAAGATTTTTTTGATTTTTAAATTATTAATTAATTTTAATGAAATATTTTATTTTTAGAATAAAAAATTGAAAAATAGATAATTAATAATAAAAAAAAAATTTTTTTGTTTAAAATATTTTTTACTTTGAAATTAAAATTATATATTTATTTATATTAATTAAATTAACTAAAAATAAGTATTTTTTTAAATACATATAAAAAAAATTAATTTAATTATATATAATATTTTATAAAAATTAATATTTTTTTATTAAAAAATGCCTCATTTCCCAGACGAAATAGAATATAGTGATAAATATTAAGACGAATATTATGAATATCGTCATGTTTTACTTCCTAAAGCATTATTTAAAAAAATCTCTAAAGGAAGATTATTAGAAGAAATGGAATGGAGATAACTTGGTGTATAATAGAGTAGAGGATGGATTCATTATGAAATACATAAACCAGAACCACATATATTATTATTTAGAAGACCTTTAGGAACTGATTTATAAACAGGATTACCACCACCAGGATTTAGGGCACCTTACTGAAAAAAAAGAAAATGATTTATAAATATATATTAATATTAAATTTTATTTTTTTTAATATGAGTAATATATTTATTTTAAATAGGTTTTGAATTTTTCATTAAATTTCAAAAATTAGTATTTATTTAATTAAAAAAAATTAATTTCTTTAATGATTATTTATAGTAGCCAGCAAAGAGGCAAAGATAATATTATTTTTATATTAAAAAAAATCGAAAAATTAAATATTAATAAATTTTGAAAAAATTATACTATTTTATTTTATATATATAAAATATATAATATTTAATAGACTTCTATAATTTTTAGAAAAAATTTTTTAGAAAAATCTTAATTTATATTTTTTAATTAGTTTATTATCATATAAAAATTTTTAATATGATAGTAAATTAAATGTTTTAATAATTTTTAAAAAAATATATATGTTTATAAACTAAGTAAAATATAAATAATATATATATATTATATATATATATTATATATATAAATAAATAAATAAATAAATAAATAAATAAATAAATAAATAAATAAAAAATTTCTAAATTTTAATAAATATTTTTCTATAAATATATTATAATTTTTTAATATGTTCGAAGGCACTAGATTATCATATATCGTACCGGGATACACTGGGTTTTGTTTTGTTTTATTAAAATAAATATATATAATAATATAAAAATCATTAAAAAGGCATATTCCAAGTATTTTAAGAAATGATATTGTTAATTCATAAAATTAAGATCCTCGTTATTAAATTCCAGGTAAAATATTATATTAATTAATTAATGTTTAATATTTTTTATTTAAAAGGATATGATGGATATGTACATTCAATAAAATCTGAAAATATTTTTGGAAAAACTTATGGTAAAATAACTTATGCTATTTCTGCAGGAGATTTACATTAAGGTCAAGATGTTCCTCCATAATAAAGATATGCTAGTATCTATGGAGATATATATGTTAATTAGAATTAAGTTTTATAAAGAACTGCAGCTGAAATTGTTGGTGTTTAAGCAAACAAATTTAATTATTAATAAGTATAGTTTTTTTTATAATTTTAATCTTATAAATAAATTTAGACTGAATAATTAAAAAATAGCAATTTTTGGTAATAACAATAATAATAGCTTGAAAAATAAAAAGAGAATATGAATAATCAATAAAAATATGAAGATTTATAATAGAGTGTAAACAATTTTTACGGAGATTAGCCAAAAGAATATTGTAAAAATATAAATATATATATTTAAATGAAAACAAATTATAAATCAAATAGTAAAATTAGGAACTCCTCTTCCAGGTTATACTGGAACTAACAAAAGAATTGTTGCTTCAAATATTTTTGGGTAAACTTTTGCAAATGCAAGAAGAACAGCTATTTAAGATTAGAAAATATAGATTAAGAAAAATCAATAACTTTAAAGTTTAATCAACTTAAATACCTTAAATTGGAAAATGATTATTATTATTTTAAATAATTATATTATAATTGCCTATATATATTTTATTTAAAATTATTATAAAATATTTATACAAACTAAATATATTTTTGTATTTATATATATATATATATTTTATTTTTAAAACTTTTAATAATATGCATAATTAAAATAAAGATGATTTTTCATATATTATATAATTCAATTTAAAAATACATATTTATTCATTTATTTAAAAAATAAATTTATATTAAAATAATATTTTTTTTAATAAGATAATTTAAAGCAGAAAATTAATATGAATAAATATAAATTTATATGATATTTATAATAAATATTTATTTTATAAATTTATTTGTTTTAAAAATATTTCATAAATTTTTATATTCAAAATATATTTTTTAAGAAAATTAATATAATTAAAAAATGTAAATTTTTAAAAAACCTATTATTATTAATTTTTTAAAAAATTAAATTATAAATTTATATATTTATATCAAACTAAAAAAAAAGAAAATTAAATAAAATAAAAAATAGAATCAGTAAATAAAAGATATAAAAACTGAATTCAAATCATATTAAAGTCTACCTTCAAAAAATATATTTCACAAATCATAATTAAATTCTTTTGACTAAATAATAAAGTCCCAAAGAAAAACCTAAAATCCAATTATAAATACAAAAAAAATAAATAGTTTACCTAAAAATTTTATATATTTTACTTAAACTATTGGCCCTTATGAAAAATAAAAATAAAACTATTTATATTTTTTGGAGTCATCACATAAAAAAATGAAAACAAACGAAGTAATCACTATCAAAAAATAATAAATAGGCAAGAGAAATTTAACTAAAAATGACAAAATACTACAAAAAAATTCAATAAAAATAATATCTAATCAAAAATAAAGTACAAATAAATAGAAAAAATTAATTTTAAGAAGAAAAAGTTGCGAATGTACTTTATGTGGTTCTAAAACAGCAAAAGAGAATAAAGTTTAAGATGTTTTTATAATTCCAAGACAATAAGATGAATTTAATAGTGTGAAAGAAAGATTTTCATAAATATTATTTAAAAAGAAAAAAAATTTCTATTAGAAATCTCAAGAAAATAACACGTAAAAATTTAAGGAACTTTTTTCCTTTTTTTTAAATAAAATTATTGCAGAAATTGAAATAGAAGTTGAATAAGAAAAAATATAAAAAAAATAAAAAAGAAAAAAAATTGTAAAAAATTATCAAAATTTGCATTTGTAAACTCATTTTGCATTTGATATTAAAAAATATGATATTAAACAACTTTTATTACCTTTTTAAAATGAAAAAGAAAACTATTTTCTTAATAGTATATAACAATAATAAGCTAATAAATATATTAACTTAGTTGGTTTTAACAATACCCTTTTAAAAAGCTAAACTAATATTATTAATTATTAGCAAGATAATAAAGAAAAATCAGATTATATATTATTTTAGAAAAATTAAATAGAATTTAAAGCTGAAAAAGCATTTAAGATATATAAATAGGCTCATACAAGAAACAATAGTCATTGCAGTTTAAAAAAAGAGATTTATTAAGAATAATAAAAATAATTTGAAAGTTTAAATAGAAAAAATAATTAATATGTAAAAATCTTTAGAATAAGTACAAGTATAAAAAATAGAGAAAATGTATAACTAAAAAGGAGCTTTCATATTAATAATTGAATGATTATTTTTATGTTTAAAATTATTTATTTTTTCGTTAAAAAAATAAATTAAATTTTATTTATATAATTTTATTAAATTTTATTCCTAATAAAAAATTAAAAAATAAGATGTAATAATTTAAATATTTAGAAATATCTGCATTAGATATAGAAAATATATATCACTCTATAAATGACATTTGTTGTTTTTTAACATTTTTTTCTAATTAAAAAACTTAAAGTTTTTTGATTTATTAATACTTACCGATTAAAACAATAAAGCAAGATTTTAAATTTTGCACGATTAATAACAATAATTATAAATATAGCTAAAATCAAGTCAAACATAATAAATGTTTGCATAAAATATTTTAAATATTAATCAAATGCTTGAAAAATCAGAATAATGGTATTTTTTTTTAAAAAAAAATTAATAATAAAAAGGTTAACTTTTTAAATAAATGAAAACGAAATATGCAAAATAAAATTTAATTTTTAGTTTATTTAATAAGAAAAAGAAGAAGATAAAAATTAATAAAATACAATCTTAAATACAACAATATAGCCTTGTGTAAATTTTAATTATCAATCATAAACAAAAAATGAGTATTTATTTTAAGAAGAACTTGAAAAAATATAAAATCAGTCATTATAATAAATATAGAGTCGCTTAGTTTTAACACCCGACCATAAAACACATAATTAATAAAATATAACAAATATTTTTAATGATATAATATTAAAATTAGTTGAAGAGAATCCAAATTTTCAATAAAATGTAATTTTCTTCAAATTATAAAATATTATAATAAAAAAAAGGAAAAACAATAAAATAATAATGATTTGGATATCTAAATTTTAACAGAAATATTAAAAAAAAAAAATGGCAGTATATGTTATGATTAGAGATAAAATCAAGATTTAAATTTATCTTTAAGTGTAATTGATTATGAAAGCAAAAAATAAAGTAATAATAACATTCTTAACAATAATAATATTCTTTTTTTTAAAAAAAATTATGAAAATGATTTCGAAAATAGAATTTAAAACCTATAAACAATTATAAAAAATACTTAGAAATATTATTAAAATCAATTAATATTGTAAATTTCTTTTATATTTTTTTAAAAAATAATAATATATTAAATTAAAAGACAATCAAATGAAATATAATAATTAAAATAAAAGAATAATGATCTACAATAATTAAAATTATCAGAAGAGAATAATAATATACAAATAATAAATCATATAGAAAAATAAAGACTGTAATTTAAAATAGAATAATAAGAAATAATTATAGAATAATTAATATAAAAAAATTCAAATTTAGAAAAATAAAACTAGATTTTATTAACTTAAATAAATGAATTAGAAAAGGATAGTTTCGAAAAATAAGATAAATATAATAAAATAAAAATGAATTTTTAAAATAAGCTTGATGAAATATAAAAATTTTAACAAAAATTTACAGAATAAAATAATTCATATTTAAATTAAGTATTTAATTATATAAAAAAAATATTATTAAAAAAATATATATAAATAGTTATAAGAATAAAATATAATTATATAAAATTTATAACAAGAAATAATCTTAAAACAACAATAAATAAAAGAATTAATTTAAAATAATGAATATCTTAAAATAAAAATATATCAAAAAAAAGTATTTTATTTAAAAAAATAAAATATATATATTTTTTAAAAAAAGCTATATTCATAAGAAAAAATTGAAAAAAAGACCTTAAAATCTAATGAAATTTCGAGTTTAAAAGAATAAATGACATAAATAAGTACTCAAAACAGTATACAAGAATATTCTCTGCTATCAAAAGAAACCCAAAATGATTAGATCGAATAGAAAATTTAG